TCCCCCCATCACTGCAGTACCGCTCTTTAGGCACAGGAGGGCAGCAGGGAGCGCTTCACAAGGCAGGGGCACGCGCGCCGCCCCGTCCCCAGCGGTTCCGCAGTCCCCCTCGGCCTGGCTGCGCAGACAAGACAACCGGGTCGCGCTGCGCTCGGCTTCCTCTCCTCAACGTATGCTTAGTTCGTCGCGCTCCTCCAGGACACGGGCGACCGGATCTTGGCATTGCTCCACACCTACACAGACGAGGCATAAGGTCATCAAAGAACCCCACTGATTACAACATTGTTGTTGCAACAACTTTAAAGCATACTTTCTTATGAGGCATCATCTTTTCTTCTTCCTCAAGCATTCGGGCCAGCTGCAACAATAACAAAACAAAACAAAATCACGAAAGCCATAAACTGGAAACACGCTGTGCCTGACCAGTTGCCAGTCCATTCCATCTCTGCATCCCTCTTCACACTACTACTGTTAATGCCCACATGGAAGGCAGCCCCAGCCCCAGACATTAGATAGAAACATGGAGAAATGCCCTACCCAAAGCAAACTATTTCAACACATAAGACTCTTAGGATGGGAAAACCTTATGAAGCCACAGCTGGGCAGCTCCCATACTCTGGATAATTCTAGAAAACAGCTCGATGCCACTGTCCATGACAGAAAATGGCTATCAATGCAAAAGAGGGGGCCAGAAAAGAGCTCAAGCTGTAACAAAGCAAGGGAAAAACAAACAAAGAAAAAAAACCACACACACACAAAAACCCACAAAAGGATGCCAAAAATGTCAACAAAGCATCCAAGAAGGCCACAGAGATGACCGGCCACCATGAAAAGATGGAATGACAGACCTTATTGCTGAAAGGGATGAGATTCACTGACACAGTGTCTAGACAGAACACGATGCATGCCTGCCACGCTAGACCTGCGCGCAGTGGAACGCACTTTTGGAGTGCAAAGAGCAAGACCCATCAAGAGCATCAAGACCCGACCCAAAGAAAAAGCAGCTACAAAGCAGAGACTGCAGACTATACATAAACACAGGCACAAGCTAGGGCTGTCCACCCTAGTACTCACACTTGGCTGACAGATGCACCTCGCTTGTATCCAGCTCGTACGCAACACTCCTACAAAAGGGCCCACCCACTACGATCCATGTAAATGCAAAATCAGAGAAAAGACATTCCAGACCCTTTTGGTGCTCTGCATAACTTTTAAAGTGCTCTGGATCGCTGTTGAACTTCAAGAAAAGTTCTCAAAGGCATCTGCATCTCCTCTGATTTCCCTTTAGTGACTCCATTTACCTTCATCACAGGCCAAATCCAAGCATGAAAAAAGGAAAACTGATCTTTAACAGATCCCTAAATACTCTCCACTAAAGTACTAAGGCAAGGAGGGGAGGAGGGGAAGCCTCACCCTACCCCACAGCTCCATCTTGCGTCCCTCAGTGGTTTCATCGTACAAGACAGTCTTTCTTTTCCAAAGGCAGTAATAAATCTTCCTGGAGGGCATAACTCCACCAACAGCTGCAACTCGCCAAGATGATTCCTCAGCCCCACTGCCCTAGAAAAGCGAGAGCAGAGCCAGCTCCTTCACCCCCAAGCCTGGGTTTTTGTGCCCTAACCCGCCACTCGCTGCCCCACGGCCCTTGCGAGGGCGGGGCCCCACCCATGGCAGCCATACCTGCAGACAGCTGGGGAAGCCCAAGGCTTTTCCTTCCCTCAGTAAAATGGAGAGTACTGAAAACATAAACACCAAGATGATGAAACAGATACACGATGTGACTACTTGGACTTCATACGTTCTGTATGCATAAAATCAAAAAGTCGGTTATTCCTTTTTTTTTTTTTTGACTAACACTAGACTGAGTGTTTAAAGGGTTTTGGTGGGGCTGCAGAGCTGGCCCAGGCCCATACAGAGCCCACAGGTGACCACGTGGGGCCCACAGAGCCTGCCCAGCCCCATGTGGAGCCCATGGGGCACCGCACATGGGGCACCTTGGACCCACATGGCACCCACCTTGGGCCGCTTGGTGCTCATACAGAGCCTGCGGGTGGCTCACACGCATGGACACCCTGGGGGGCTGCATGGAGGCTCGTAGGGGCCCCCAGCCCCATGTGAAGCAAGGCCCAAGGGGCTGCCCTGAAGCCCTGAGGGGCCCCTGGCCCCGTGTGCACGGAGGTCCTGGGAGGTTGCACCTCCTTTGGCCGAATTTATGGTCTCATTATCTTGACTTTTACGTTAGCGTCACCATTTTCCTTACACGAAGACATAATTTCAAGTAAAACAACCATCCCGTTTTGCTTTTGTTTCCACTTTTAAAGAGAGGTTTAGCACTCCAGTAGTGTGAGTTTCTGTGTATTGTCATGAGCCACATTCCCCTGACGCTGCAGATCGGATCCACCTGCGGCGAGCCGGAACGGGCAGTCGGGCGCTCAGCTCCTCCAGGGAAGGTCGCCCTGTCTCTACATATATATGAAGGAGAATTTAAGTGAATTTCTGCTCCATTCACATCACATATGAGATGTAGAGGTACTTGTTGATGGCGGGGGCCTTCTTCACTGGGGACATTTTGCCAAAACAATAATCAAAGAAAATACTCTTAAGAATAAAACTGCAACAGTTTTTCAGTAATTCAATAATTTATTTATCTAAAAAAGTGTGTAAAAGTATATAGCTCTCATCCACAAGGTATATATGAATGACAATTAAAATGGAGGTCTTTATTATTATTGTTTCTTTTTATCAAAGTCTTTTTTTAGTGTATTGTACCAGCGATATACTGAAGATTTAAAATGAACTTCACATTTTTTTTTGTTTTCTTTCAAATTGTCGGCTATATATAAAAGAAGCTCACTGCAAAATGCTCAGAGAAAAAAACAAAACAAAACAAATTCAGAACTCCCCAGAAATGTACAGCTTTTACATTTAAAAAAGGTTCTGAAATATACATACAGCATGCTTGACCTCCCCCCTCCCACCCCCCGCTCCCCTTAGCTCAAACAACTGTATAATAATTCTGATTTAGGCATGAATTTCCAAAGTTAGAAATAAAAAAAAAATAAAATAACTTTCTTCACTCTGTAGGAAAGCCAGGGCTTGTACATTTCAGATTAATTCAGTAAAAAACTCACAAGTAAAATAATGCATATTTAAGGGAAATATTATACAGAACTTTTCACACTGAAGTACATAAGATTTTTCTTTAAAATCTATTGCCATTCATTTATTTTGCACAAAAACGTATAAATATGTCACCAGCTTCTCTTAACTTAAAAAAATTAAATAAAAGACACCAGATGAAAACTACTCCTTGCTGCCCTTTTTTATTTTTAATTTTTGCTTAGAACCAGGTTTCTGGGGAAGAAACACCCCTGGATAAAAACGGCTCATTTAAAAAGAACAAACAAAATAATAATCCAAAGTTCAGATGAATCCTGGGACCAAATAACCCCAAAGCGGTAAAAGATTACAAATGTCTACTTTACATTTTTCCTCCCCAAGTTAAATTTTTTTATACAAGTTTACAATCTTCATCTTTTTATGCTCTTCAAAAGGCCTTGAGAATTTTCTTTTCTGATTAAGAAAAAATAGTACTGCAATATTTTTAAAGTCAATTTTACACTGTACACATTAGATACAAATGGTTTGATATCAGATTTTTTTTTTAACCTATACATTGCAAAGAGGATACCCATGTGGGAGGTTTGGTGCAGAGAATGAAATAATCCATTTACAGGTTAGTTCTCTGACTTCACCTTCTCATTACACAAGCAATATTTTTAATATAATTTGTTTTAAATGTTACATTATCTCAAGAAAAATACTTTTTAAAATCATATAATTTCTTTTTGTTTTTTTAACCAGAACATGAATGTCGTTTGGAAGAACTTTAAAATTTGTAGGTTTTTCACCACAGATAGATACCTAGGTCACATAGCCTGATCAAAGTGCCCGACCCCTCACGTAAGGCAGTCCATGCCTGCTGCACAGTGCAACAACGAACATTAGAAAATGGAGTTTAAATATAAACCCCTTGAAGCCTGGAATGAAGGAGTCATAAAAATACTTCAATTAGCCATTAACCTTTAAAATGGCAATCATTTTACTAAACAAAGTAACTTTTCCACTACTAGTGGTATAACTTCAAGTACTAATTTAATGATATAATTTTTAAAAATTATTTCTTTGAAATAATATTCCTATAGTCAGAAAAAATACACCAGATTTGTAACTGATTTAGTGTAAACAAAAACCATACTTTTGGATATGTACATGGACTAGTCTGCCCAGAGTTAAAGGGTGACTTGGGGTTTCAGTAAATAGTTTTCTAGCATCATTAAATTTATTGGAAATATATTTCAATCATAACTCTACAATAGATTAATTTACCACTTTCCATTTGCCCTTACATTGATCGGGCTTTAAAGTATTCTTGCTCCCTACCTCTCACTCACTCTTCTTCCATTAGGTAGTGTTATCCTTCATTAAACACTGGCCGTTTCTTGCCCTAATCAGGCTAAATACAGGTGAGAATTCCTTAAAATACAAGCATATTCTTAGCAGAATATGCTCCCCCTTCCCGACTTGGACTTTGATTGTTACTAGCTTCATTTTTGTTTTCTCGGTCAGAAGAGTGAGAGGTATGTAGATAAATAACCTTACGGTGGAACGGAGCTGGATTGTTAAAATATACTACTGTTCCTGGTCCTTTATAATTTAATCCCTTCCCTCCCCAAACCTAAAAATAAATAAAATATCTCCAGACCATTCATATCTATATGGACAGGTAACAAATGCATGCATTCATCCCAATCCACTGACAGGAACTCCAGGTAGACAGAAACTCCAATATGAATACGAAACTACGACTGGTTGTCATCTTCTGCAAAGTCCCAGTTTATGATGTTCAAACAAGAAAACTTCTGGAAAACCCAAACTGGTCACTACAAGATATTTTGCACTTGCAGGGCTGAAACTGCTCTTGCTTGTATATCAGAGTTCCTAATGCAAAAAGACACTGTAGTCTTCCTCAAAAAAAGGAAAAAAAAGAAAAAAAGGAGAGGAAAAAAAATAACAATCACACTGACCAGTAGTTACTGGGCCACCAAACTAACACTGGCTTGAGGTTACTATGTGTTCACTGTTCTTGGATGTTCCCAGATTTTGGACTGAAGCTGCCAGAGATGTTAATGGGTACTTGAGTTTTGAACACTGCAGAATGCGCATGTGCTTATGGAGGAACAGAAGCACAGTACACGACTGGTCTGAAGATAAGCAAAATTGTCATTTTTGCAGACTGTGGCACGTTTCTCAGGTTGAGAGGAGAATAAGCCAGAAGAACAAGTGCTTTTCTATCTATTAAAGTATATTCATGATGGCATTGTACAATTGAGTGAGCACCACAAAGTGGACAGGAAGGCAGGAGCTGCGATCCTGAGTGGCAGGGTTACATGTAAGCCAGGACAGTGCATTGTACTGCTCCAAAACGAACCTGCAGAAGAGAAATGCAGAGAGAAAAATGAAACTGGAATTGTTTACTCCTTCTTCCTTTTCTTTTCTAAAGCATATAAACTTATCACTGATTTCTCTTGGGGATGGTCTGTGATGACAACTGCCTGGTTCTACCACTACTGTTGGCCCAGTAGCAAACTCACCAAAAGCTTTGTGCGGAACATGAGTTTTGTCATCAGAATACTTGAATTTGACCCAAACTGTTTGAATTCACACACAGGAGAGATTATAGAATAGAGCAAGTCAGGCTGGAAGGGACCTCCGAAGGTCTTTTAGTCCAATCCTATGTTCAAAAGAAGTCTAATGAGATCAGATTGCTCAGGAACTTGTCCAGTAGAGTTTTAACACCTATATGGAAGGGGATTCCACAACCTTTCTGGCCAATCTGCTCCAGTATTTTATCAGTCTTACTGTAAACTAATTTTTCTTCATGTCTAATTAGAATTTCCCAAGTTTTATCTGTGTCCTTCGCCTCTTGTCCAATTGTTGTGCATCTAAGAGCAACATCCTTTTACTCAAAACAGAGGCAGGGGTTAACAGTACTACCTCTGAGCAAATGAAATAGCTCAGGCCTCTGTCCAGGGTGACAAACAGGATATTTACAGAATCCCAGAATGGTTGAGGCTGGAAGGGACCTCTAGAGATCACCCCCTGCTCCCTGTAGAGGGACACCTACAGCACAGGGCACAGGGTGGCATCCAGGCAGGTTTTGAAGATCTCCAGAGAAGAAGTCTCCACAACCTGTCTGGACAGCCTGTTCCAGGGCTCTGTCACCCTTTGGTGGTCTTACATTTACCACCAATTTGAGTTGGATGAGATTATTCTTAATGGTTCCTACTGATACTCTATATCCATTGTGGTCTCATGTCCCACTCTCTATGCTGTCTCATAAAAACTTTTTTTTTCTGGTGTAGAACAGCCCCAATAGATGGGATGAAGGCAAACACGCTTCTACCAATCTTCTACAGCAGGGCAAGTTCACAACACTGTATTACTTCAGGAAGAATCTCCTTTATATTCTAAGTAATTTTCCTAATTCCTGGAAGAGTGGCTATGAGGAGAATGTCTCTGTTTCCTTCTAGAATCCCTTTTGCTTCGGTGAGCATTTATTTACTTCACCCACTTCCCACTTACCCCTTCCCTTTTATTTTTATTTATTTATTTATTTATTTATTTAGCCACACAGGTAAGACACAGTACAAGTGTAAAGTGCTGTGTTCCCATATCCTTTCAGAGAAAAATCAGAACCTGAAAGGTGTTCCTACCTCAAGACATCTGATGTGGTTTTAGAGTCCAGGGGGTGTGGAACACGCTGAGAATTTCTGGCAGGTAAAAGTTCATCTGTCTGCGCTACAGAGATATGGTGATGCAGTGAGGCCTTTGAAAGGAGAGAATAACAACCCAAGTTAACTCTTGACAGGGTAACTGTATCTGAAGATCCACAGTAAACAAGTACAGGAGAGTTTGACATGCTGGTAAGCTGAACTGAGAATTCTCTTTCAACCTACCACGGCCAAGCCCATTCTGAAGTTCTGAAATTTGTTATATTTACTAGGGGAAGAAATGATGAGGGGAACACTTTGAGGAACGTGGCAGTGGTTCCCATGACATTTCAGTAATGAAACATTCTGATTCTTCAGGCTCTGCAGTTGGAGACCCATCACAGCGAACCATAGAGGTACAGGAGGGCCAGCCAGACTTCTTGCACTCCTTGGTGCTCTTTCTGAACATCTCATCTTTCTTCTGCAGCAAGGCCTATGCATTAGGTTACGCAGAGGGAGGAAGGGGATTTCACGTTGATCCTGCGCAGGGACAGAGCCAACTGCACAACCCTTTCAAGTGAGCAGCCCCTGAGACCTCAGAGCCTGCCCGGGCAAGACCTCCGGGTTAACCCCCACAACCATGGCCTACCCCCACAACCATGGCCTGCACATCACAGAGTCACAGAATTGTTAAGGTTGGAAGGGACCTCTAGAGCTCATCTAATCCAACCTCCCTGCACACGCAGGGTCACCTAGAGCATGTGGCACAGGACTGTGTCCAGGTTTGGAAGATCTCCAGAGAAGGAGACTCCACAACCTCTCTGGGCAGCCTGTGCCAGGGCTCTGTCATCCTCACTGTCAAGAAATGTTTCCTTAAGTCAGAGGCCCGATGGCTCAAAAAGCAGTGATCCATGTCATGCTTTAACCTATGCATCTCATAGGCCATGCAAGCTTTCTAATTCTGTGCCATGCAGCACAGGCAGACAGCACCACTGCTCTCTGCACATTGTACGAGGCACTGCATGCAATCAGCCCTTTGCTCTTATTAAAAAATGGCCAAATCAAACCAGAATGTTTCAAATCAGATTAATCAGCCTAGATCTGAAAGTAATTTTGTTGGGGCAGGGGCAGGGTGGTGGGGTGGTGGCGCCTTCTCTTCAGTGCAAATCTAGTATAAGCTTATGGAAGGAATTCACAGAGTTGCCTGGAGCTCTGCTGACTATGCTTTTACCTCTGGAAATGAACCTTTCTATTTGTATTACCCCTTCACAAAAACGTAGCTTAAGTTTAGGATAATGCTTCATCTCTAGCTCTATAAACAGGGTGCCTTGCATTTCACCTTATTAAGATCCCCATTTAGCAGGTTTATGTATTCAGGAAATGTTTTCATGAAAAAGTGGAGGGCATAAGGAATAAGGAAGGTGACCTCATGTAGCTGGTACTTCAGTACTGAGCTGGTGGAGGTGGAATAGTGAATATAAAGCCTTGCTGACTTGAAGGAGTCCTTCTTAAATGATCAACTGTAAAATGCCTTTTCTTGCATAAGGAAAGAATTGAGAAATCTACTTTGATAATATCCTGGTAGAAGCTAGAAGACTACATGATACTTTTAAAAAGTGTTTAACATTTGCTAATTAAACTGTAAATTCATAAATAAAGTGGCAATGTCTTAACTATTTGATATGTTGCTTGTTCAGCTATTTACGTGGGGCCTGTCAGGGCATATTTCTCACCTACTTTCCTTACTCATTAGCTCATATCCTTTTGATTAATGCAAATCAGAAGCTGCATGTCTCTATAGGAGACAGTGAATTGCTGGTAGCTGAACCAGTTATGCTGTGCACCTTTTGCAAGTGCTTGGAAGCTTCCAGAATGGAAGGTATTGCATCTGCTCTGATGTTGCAAACTGTCTTTCTCACTTCTACTTCTAGGGATATAGGATTGGAGAGAGAATGCTTTAACTGGAGGTGCTGTTTTTGTAATTTTAAATGCATGTGTCCATCCACTGGACTATGGCAAAATAGGAGCTATGTCCCTCTGGCCTTAGAAAGCAATAGCCGGGACGTTTCCTCAGTGCTGCCCATTTTGCATACTTTGACAACTGCATACTTAGAAGCTGCTAAATTTTATTCTGTTTCAGAATGTAGGAACAGAGAGTAAATATTAATAGCCAGCTATCTAACTTCAAATCTAGAATTATATTTCCATTCCCAATACTGTCAACTGAGATAACATGCAAAGCTAAAATTTTCATGGAAAATTCACAGAAGATGAATAAAATTCCTCCTCCCTTTGCCCTGTTGCAGAATACTAGCACAGACCTTCAAGAAGAGGGGACACTGGTTTTGTGCCTGAGGACAAGATGACCAGAACCACTGTGGAAGATTCTCAGCTTTGGCAGTTGACACAAAGTACCCAAGAGCAAGGGGCTGCTGCTTCAGTTCTTCAGGGGCTTCTCTAGAGAGAAGACGTTCCCCTTGGCTCTGGAGAAAGAGTCAAAAAGCCATTTGTTGTTTAATGCCATCACATTCCCCCCAATAACATTCATTTTCTTTACTAATCACTCAGGCTTGAATGCAGTTTTGTGTCATTATTAATGAGCATACTTCAGTCTCAGGCTGTGCCACGCTTTCCCTTTATTCTGAAATCTTAGTCAAAGTTGTTTGATCCTCTCATTTATCCCTTGCAGTTTGGTTTCTCAGGTGTATGTTCCAAAATCACTGTGAGTTCCTTAGCAAGTGTTAAACTCTTAAATTGAAGTGAGTTAATAGAAATTTTGAAGCTACAGAGCAACTTAAGAGCAACTTAAAGGTACTAAGCTCTAGCTATGAACCTGAATAGCTTAATGTGGGCAAGGAGAATACAGCAGTGCTGATTTTAAGTTTTTATTGCCTCAGTGAGTTTATGGCCCTACTGGCTTTCCCCATACTGAAAAAAAATCACCAAGTTGCACTGCAGATGTTCCTGACTTGAGCTAATGAAAGAACATGCTACAGACACTCAGCTGTGCAAGAACAACACCTGCTTCATCATAGTATTAGCTACTTTTATACCTAAATAAGAAAAAAAATTGTGATTTATATTCCTTACTGTGAGAATAACTTGGACAGAAGATACTGTTTTATACATGCAGACGCCCAATGTGGGGGAAAAAGCAACAGCCATTTCTGCTTTTCTAGTTATATCAGTTATTAATTTAAATACAGGGTTCTTTTAGAATTACTTATTCATGTTCTCATATTTAGGACAAAGTTATTTGGAGGGGAGAGAGTGGAAAAACAAGAAAATATCTTCAGAACTAGTTTTATCAGACATTAGGTTGCTGTCTGTTTGGCATATACATGTTTTTATTTCTGTGGACTAAAACCAAGCTAGATGAATGTTCTGCACACCAGGCTGTTGTGCAGGAATGCTTCATCAGAGTTTATCTCCCAATGTTTATAAAAAATGTTTTACACGTCATGGACCACACTGACAAACTCAGAAGGATTGCCTTGGGTACCAGAAGGACTGACTGCCATTCCCTTCTGAAGTACCATTTTATATTACATGAATTGTTTTTATTTGTAAACACTCTTCATGATTTTGCTTTTATATTTTATTTCTTAGAGGAAAAAAAAAAAATACTTGCAAAGAAGTCTAGACTGAAACTTAACCAGGAAGACTTGGGGCAGGCTGTCCATTTAAGCCACATACATCTTTTAAGCCATCAGGAAAAAAGGGTTCTGTTGACAAGAAACAGTCTTAATTGCAGAAGCATCAGTGCTAGTCCTTGGCAAGCCTGTCTCCTGCTGCTTTTATAAAACCAAAAATTACACAGCAATTACTAGGCCCTTGTTAACGGTTAAACTGAATTACTGTGACAGGTTCATCTAGAAATAGCTTGTCCAGGTCTCTAAGTTCTTTGGTCACTAACCTTTCGGTACTGTTCTTAAGGCATTTGGATAGAGTTCCACTGAGAATAAGTTGTATAACACATTTTTCTAAAAGTGGTTCAGAACAGAGACTGTTTAATCAATTAAATATGAGAGGGAAATTGTCATGAGTGCTTTGTTGGAATTTATGTCTAGAGGGTTTGGGAACAAAATTTTAAATTTTTAATATGCCCATGTAGCAGTTTGAAATAACCAAGTGACAGAAATGTGTAAATATTTAGGCTTTGAAAAGTGATTTAAAGTATCAGTGTAAGGTGATTGTGTATTGAGACCACAAAATGCAACTTCAGCATCCTTGTTGCTGGTGTAAAATAAACTTTTCCCCTTATGGACACTTACTAAAGTGACCATGAAAGCGTTTCAGCAGAAGCAATAAGGAAATACTCAGAGCACTGTTACACCTTACAGGTGAAACTGGTTTATCTCATAATCCTAAAGATTAGTTTTTTTGAAGGAATAAGATTTTCTTCCTTAAGATATATTTATTTATAAAAAATGTGCTGCTTTGTTAGAGTGGCTGAATGAGTAGCATCATTCACAGTCAACAGTGTAGGTGGACACCTCCTTAAGTAGGCGTTTGGTAGTTAATGTCACTAGTCAAGAGGGTTTGAAACCACCAGTGACAGCTGCAGGTACTGATCCAGTTATTTTTTTAAAGGTACAGAAGAACCCATTTACATACATGGATTTTATTCTTTTTACTTCTTAATGTCTATTTCTTTCCTAAAAGACTACTGTTTAATAAAGAAGTAATATGCTATTGCTTTAAGAGTACTATTTCCAGAGCATAACTTCTCTGCTGCCGAATTATGAAACCTCTTAGATTTCTGAATACTTGTGATAGAAAACATGTACAACTAAGCCTCTTACACAACTAAATGTATGCATAAGAGTTCCATCAAACATGATCCAAATTATACTAAAGCAGATTCAGGAAAATCTTTCTTGACTTATCAAGAACAGTTTGCATTTTCAATAACCACTGGTGCTGAAACTATTTTTATAAAAGCCACTTCAAACAAAAATATTTTTATAACAGTATGTGCTCTGGGCTAGCTTTTACTATGCCAGAGAAAACAGCATTTGCATAAATATCTAACACCTGCAGAGTTTAAATTGACGGGGTTTTATTACTAGGAAAATTATCTCACTTCTTGCCTCCCCCAGAAATTGATGTGATCAGAGCTCTCCATGTCTTTTTTTCTCTTTGTGTTCTCACTTTGTGTAGGGGTAGTCTCTATGATTTTTCAGAGAAAAATTCATAAATGCAGATTAAGTTTATACAGGGCCACTGAAAATGGCTATGCCACAAGAAATAAAAGCCTTCATCTCCTCCACTCTTCTACACTAACAACTAACTTGGAAAAACAGTCATGGCACAAGCATCTTTTATCCTGGTATTTAGTCAGGACCTTGCTTGTGGCTTAATTACATTTGAGAATCAAAAAAAAAAAGTCTGTTAGAGGATTAGGGTTTTTTAAATTATTTTTTTCCCCATTTGTTGTTTTTGCTTGTCTTACTTTGAAGTAGCACATCCCCTGAAGCCCCCTGAAGAACCTTACCCTACTATGCTGGTAGTGAGATCCCACTCCAATACCAGATGGGGAACCAGGGGAAGGAACTGGAGAGGAATTTGGTGGAGAGTGAAGATTCCCTGTTATTAAAATTCCAAAGTCATTCTCTATGTCATCTGGGAATGGGAGGTCAAACATGTCATCTGAAAGGGAAAAAGAGGAGGAAAAAAAAATTCAACTCCTGTACTCATTTTGTTAAAAATTCTAATATATTAACATTCCCTTTTACATACTTGAGACAGATGAAGGCAACAATACACATTTTTACTGTTTCATCCTTCTTAGCTTCTTTGACTTCAGCCACACAGATTTAAAAGGAAACACTGGCAAACATCTACTAAAATCGTGAGTCTTAGTAACAGTTATTCAGTGCACCAAAATCCTGTCATACTAGCTTAGTAACAAATCCAAATTGAACGTTATAATGGAAAGAATTGCATCTCTCTGCAGTTGGTCACAGAAATCCACTAACAAAATACTAGAAAAGCATTAAACAAGCTTATGTATGTTGCCCTCCGCACGTGCCCCTCCTCGCAGGCTGCCTTCGGGGCACGTCTGCTCCAGGCGTCTTGGGAAGAGCCCTTGCAGCTTCCAAGAAATTGTGCAGAGTCGAGTTCTGTTCAGCACAAGGGCAGCAGGACAAGGTCCATGCTCACATGCCATGCACTTGTATGAGTATTTTAAATACTGCAACAGCACTTCCCATGGCTCTACTTTTAATAGTTTGATTTCATCTCAGAAATTATTACCATAACTAGCAACCATGTTTTTAATTTAATTTATATTAACACGTGAGATGGGAGGAAGAGCACCCTGAAAATGTATTTGCGTTCTAGGAAAAGTACATTCCTTTGGTCAGTCATCTGGAACACAAGCTACGAGGCCCTGGGTAATTTATGTGACCGAAAACTGAAATTATAAACACAGATCAAAAAATTACAAACACAGTGTGTAAGTTTTTTTCCTCAACCAGAGCTTTTGTCAGGCAAAGGCATTTAAAAAAGTATAATGATATTTAAGGTACATTTTAAGGGACAGAGAGACATAAGGAGTTGTTTCAATTTAGGAGAATCATGGCAAGATGTATATTAAAATGCATTAAAGAAACCTTAAATAATAGTCAAGCATTTCTATATAGTTTTAAATGTGTATTTACAATAAAACATTTATATTGAAAAATGTGCTTCAACTAACATCACATAAAAATTTCTCTTGCACTAATTTCAAGCTGAAATCCTAGTGCTTGAAGAGGTGGGTGGTTGGGTGTTTTTTTCATCTTCTGAGGAGAAGCATCGGATTGCAAAGGCAATGAATTAACTTAGTATATTAACATCTGTCCTACAACCTCAATAAACAGAACAGAACTAATGTTATGCTCTGCTAAGCCTCCAAACCATAGATGAGATGGCTAATAGCATAGGAGCAGTTTAATCATTAAACAGAATAGAGTTAAGAAAATTAAATGTAACACCATTTTGGAAAACGCCAGCTCCTGTACCTGGTTCTAATTAGCATCTCAACACTAAAGGGCAGGTTAGTGCAGGTTAAATATTTGTCAGGATCCAGCCAGGATTCTGGGGCACGGAAAGGACAGATGCCAGAAGAGCAGCGGTAACTCTGGGCCTTTTGTGAGGCCGACTGAAATTCCAGGAGGACTAAGATCAAAGCTGACTATTTCATTAAAGATATTAAATCTTTTTTTCCCCCTGTACTCCACCTGCTCTCCTATTAGAATATTTTTATTGTAAGGGATTGTAGTTTCTCTTGGTTTAAATTGTTTTATAATAATTTAAAGAGGTTTATGGTAAAATAGTAAAATACTGATTTGATAGAAAGTATTAATCAGTCTTGCTGTTAAAATTTATAGGACTGAATATGCTTAAAAACATGTCCATTATATTAAGAACCCTTGGGACTTCCATTTGGCCTACTTTACACAAAAATTAAAATTTTAAACAAGCGCCTCTTTCCTGATAAGTTTTGTACACAACAGACTATCAAATGATTATCTAGCACAAAAAACAGTTTGGTTTGATCAATTCACAAGTCAATTCACATCAACAAGAAAAAAGTGTTTTGTTGTCTGTGCCCTTTTTAAAATTTTTGGGGGCAAGCTGATTGGTCAGTAGAGAAAAAATTTTTGGAATAAAGTAGGATGATTACTTGAAAACAATGTTCAGAAAAAAACACAGTCTATCATTTTCTAACTCTAAACCAGGCATTGTTGTCCTTAGATCAAATTAAGGAGGTATGTGGTCCGGGGGAGAACGCTCGTCTCTACTGACACTCATTCAGTCCCTACTGATGGCGGGGATGGCTTTGCTTGTAACTCCAGAGTAGGCCCTGGACAAACACAGATATTTCACCTCCTACACAAGGCAAAAACGGTAACTTACCATTAGTGGGGCTGAACCCATCTTCATTAGGATAATTTGCTGGTGCTACCTGGATGGTAGCAGAGGTTGGGAAAACCAAGATGTGTGTACAGGAGGCATCCTGAGGGGTGTTCAGCTGAGATGACTGCAGGTTCAGCGCAGTACTCCGGCCAAACACTGATCCCATAGTGACAGCATCTGCCAGAGAATAGGAGAGGGCAGAAAAACTTATTTGCATCACCTTTAAAATATATGTTCTGCGCCCAATTAAATTTCTATGCATCTAATCTGGGTTTGCAAGCTAACACAAGCATTTAAAGTTTCTTATCTTAAAAAGAATACTTTACTAGAAGAGTCTGAAATTATGATCACACATTGTATAGATAAAGTTTAGCTATGTGAATTCCCATACTATTCCCCATCTTTCCCTTCATTCTTCTGTTTCTTAATCAAAGATTTGCTTGCTAGATGTGGCAGTCAAATTTATCCCACATCTGTATAAATCCAAATTATGTAATATACCTCACTTTGGATGACATTAAAAGACATTTTCTCATGCTGTTTAACTCTGCTTTGAAAATTATTCAGCTTGTTAAGTAATTTTCAGGTGGGTTTAGTTCTATGACAAATAGCTTTTTTTTTTTTTTTCTTTTCCCTAAACTAAGAACTGGAGCAGTTTGCTGGGATTTCTCATCTGTAGATAACTGCACATACTTGAAAGTAAAACAAGTAAGGAAAGGTAAACAATCCAATACAGAAGAGCTCCACAAAATGAATTTTGCTTTGACTTAACCCTATGACCTGTAGCTCACAATTAAACTCTAAAAACACTGAAGCATGTGAAAAGGGAAAGGGAAGCAGGTTTATTCTTACTTTTCTTACCTAGTCTCCTATTCTTTTACATTACAGACTATTAAAATGTCTTCCTTGCATAAGGGCTTGTACAACACCTCATTCCAGCTGACGCAACTGGTCTACCTCAAACCATGTCCTCCCCAAAGAAAAGGTCATCCGTTTGGCAGTGACATGAGGTAACCTTTCCTCCTGGGAGGCAGTGCTCACAACATAATATCCCTTCACGATATTTTGGGGAATCATGCTGACTCAATCTCTATTCTCCCATATTTAACCATGCTAGTCAAGGTCTCACTGTTAGGCCCACAAGTCTTTGATGTATTTCTTACATGGGATCTATGATATAAAAGGAGAAAAGTCTAAGCAGCATTGAAATAGGTGGATAAACATTTACCTGGCATCACGACAAAGGAGCCTTGTGGTTCCATGGCAACTAAGCAGGCACTGAGGATAGAAGGAGAGTCCGCTGAGGAGATGCCACACATGCGGCACACCTCCTTTAGCTGTTTGCTGATTGTCTGCAGGGAACATTCCCCAAGGAGGATACTCCAGTCTGGAAAGAAGGAACTTTTGATAGAACATAATGGAATTCTGAAAAATCCAGCAAAATACTAGTAACGCTTCGCATTTCCTTAACATTCTCCACTGGGAGAGGGAGCATTCAAACAAAAATGGATTGAACATCCACATACTTCTATGAAGCTTAAAAAATAAAGAACAACAGGGAGCTTGCCCAAGTCGCTTAAAGTTGCAGAATAGTTTCTCCTGTAATTACTAGTTGATTTCCCAGTGATCTAACTGCATTACTCTGACAAAAGGGCACATGTTTCTATAAGAATGACTCTGTGGTTCTACCTGTGATGTACGAAGAGAACTTCTCTACTGTGAAACAGGGCAACATATAAGCATTTATTTTATGCTTTCTTATTTATACCCATTTCTGTTTCTGAATTGTATGGATTTTTTGTTTTTGAAAAAGGACATCTGTTTTCATCTAACATTCCGTATAACTGGAAATTCGAAATGTAAGCAAATATATCAATTCACACACAACACAAATTTTGTTTTCTTCTAAGTAAAATATGTTAAATAAAATAAAACACACAGAACAAAGCAAATACAGTGAATGTTTCCACAGGAAGTTGTCAGTGGAGGGGCGGATAAAACTTCAGAGGACCTCAGTTAACCATTTAACCGACAGATTAACAAAATCGGGGGAAAGCTACTGATTAAATTCTGTCCTGCCTTCACTCCACCTAACTCTCATGCACGTGATGGATACCAAATTCACCTACCAGAGCAGGCAACTTCTCTTCTTGCCTGCATGTATTAAATGGGGGAAGATATTTAGTTATTGCTCCCTGTCCCAAATATTTCCTTGAGTTTTCAGACTAAATTTTTATTTCTTGTATACCACTTTTCAATTCTTTCCAGTCTCAAGAAATACAGCGTTACAATAACATATCCACATCTTCAGTTATCAGTGTAAGAGGACATACACTAACTAGGTATCTTTATCCTCCATCCTAATTCATTCTTCATGTTCCAATTCAGGAGATGGGAGAGAACTCAGAGAAGCTTCTCAAAAACCGATTTGCTCTTAATCAGTTACCAACAAAACACGAGCAGTGGCTACGGCCTTTAGGAACAGAAGATGCTGAATGCTCATATTTAAATCAGGAAGAGGAATCACTGCTAAAATGAAGGAAGAATGTGCCTACACCTGGATTAAGGCAACTAATCCTGCAATACACCAGTGCTCCTTTTCATTTCCTACAGCTGCTGGGAATGCTAGATTTGGGGAATTCTTTCTAGACCTCACAGAGTACCTTACTCCTGGTAAGAACTGATTGTCATTTAATTTTGTTTGTTCTCTAACTTCATTCATAAGAATTTTTATTTTGAAGTTTCAGGATCAGAATTGCATCCTATTTCTGTGACAGGGCAGCTCTTGCCCAAGATCTTTGTCTAGCACATGATCAACACAGGGCTTCTGCTTGGACATACACTGTGCTAGTACTGGTTAATCTACACAATAGCTAAAAGAGGTGAGCAAATGATGTCAAGTCCAGTGTATAAACATGGTCCAACACTAAAGCAGATGATTTATCCAAGAAAAAAACCCCATACTGCCAGGGTAGGATGTTAAAGGTTCATAAGCAAACCTGTTGATCATTCTTTCTTGCTCACTGAGACCATTTCTTCATTCCAAAACCACTGTTTGTGACAGCACTGACATTTCCTACCTTTTAACTCCCCATGGCCCAGACGACCAAGTCGCCCGATGACAACTCTCCAAGGCAGCGATGTCATCTGGACAATCCCGATGCACCATTCCCAGAGCTTCTGCAGACCAATTTTACGTGCAGATAACTTGCTCCTCCTTGACCTGGAGATTAAGGCAGGAAAAAAAAATAAAGAGAATGAAGGGGAATATTCAGACTTCTGTATAGTTATTTCACTGCTTACCACAGGTGAGAGTTTTTACAGTGCTCTAATGGTGCCAACTTGTCTTTTATCAACAAGAACTGGAAGGTTTTGTGTGCTTCCAGTAGTGGCATTGTAGTAAACGTACGTGGAAGGCATCTGTGTGCTGAGCAACATAGCAGTTGTTCTTGGAGATGCTCTCAGATCACACTTGTAAGATGAATGTAACAATAACTATTTTCCTCTGCAGATCGCAAATGTTATCACAAGAATGATACCATGATGACATGGGCAGGAAACGTGATTACAATGTAATGAGCAAGCAACTAATGCAGTGAGGAATGACAACTATAGACCTAGATTAATGCTTAAAAAAAAAAAAAAAAAAGAAAAACCACCAACCAAGAAGGTACCTACCTGTTTGGTAAATCAATATTAACTATGCAGGTTTCCAACAATTCACCATGTAGATCAGTGCAGGATGCCAGAAGCCAACGTTGGTCATGAGACAAACAATATCCAACAAAAAGAACATTGTATTTCTGACTGGCCTCTCCAAATGTTTCTCCCAGCTCTGTCTGTTTGTCTTTGATAGGTGCCAATATAAAAGGAGGTGAGTAAAGCTGGATTGGGCAGGGCCTCTGCAATAAAGTCAACATCATCATCATCAGATATATCAAAAACTGTTTCATACAAGAAATCCAGGACCATAAACTATTGGTAAATACAGAAAAATGAGTTTCAAACAATACATAAAACATATTTATAATCAAATCAGGTATTGGAAAAAGGGTGGACATAGGCAATTAATTTTTACTAATTAATTAACTTCAAAAGTTTTCCTATTTTTCTTCTTTTCTTTTACATATGACAAAACTAAGGTGCAAAATGGTCTTTGCTCATGGTGTGTAAATCTCTGAAGTGAGCAGAAGTTTAAACCCATTCCTGTTGTATATCCCTCTGTGGAAATTGCTAGAACCTGCTCTCCTCTGTCCGTTCCCACCCTCTCTATGCTGTAATGGACATCAGCATCTCATGTGGTGCATTCAAGACATTAATCCAGAAATGACACAGCCACAGCTTAAACCTCTTCACCCAGAGTTTTCTGTGCAGGCAGTAGCTACGTCCACGATTCTCTTGTGCTGGGGAGCCCAGCACTGGACCCAGCACTCAGATGTGCTCTCCCCAGCTCAGAGCAGAAGGGAACTGGGAAACCTGGCCCTAATGCAGGCCGGGTCACTGCTGGCCTCCTTTGCCACAAGGGTGCAGTTCACATTCATTCTATTTCTCCTAGTCTTTTTCCGCTTTTGCTTCGTAACTCCTCTACAAAGAAATAAGACTTTATGGACCTGATCAGATATACTCAATAAACAAGAAATGATCAGGATATTTGGTCAATTTGGCAAAGTTTGGAAGTCTGCAGTGCAGACTGATGAGAAATGCATGCAGGATAGAGAAAGTAGACAGCCTGGTGCACTAAATGCAAGCCGGTACTCATGAAAACTTTGTTTACTTCATAATTTTGTCTCTTCTGTCTTTTCAGAAAAAGAAATATGACATCAAAAGTGCCAGTTAAACAGCAAGAGAAAAAAGTAAGCGATGGTGTTTTATTAGAGACATTATACTGTGGGAGTACCAAAATTCTGTTTATGTCTCTTTCTGAAAGCACACTTCCTTGGTGCAGGAACATTAAAAGGCAGGAAGATGATTGCAGAGGTCTGATTTGCTGCTCTTCCCTTTACTCCTGCCTGGTCCAAATGCTGATCGTCATAGTGTGGTGCACGATGCCTCCTGCTGTTTTTTTCACAAGAAGCATGAGAAAAAGAGTGTGACGAGGAAGTGCTTGGCACTGGACTGCTGAAGAACTTCTACAGACGTTTTGAGCAAGACTTTCTGACTAACGCGTATTTTTATTTTATGGTTTTGAGTAATGAAATGTGCTTATGGTTTTTTTTAATAATGATCTTGAAATTAAGTTTTAAAATGCTAACAAGTATATCTTGATTTCAAGGTAAATGTTTACAGTTATTAAATCTAAATAAAACAGTCATTATTTTCCAAAGCATGAGAAATATTCATGGAAAATAAGGCGGACTATTCTTCTTTTTAAACCGCTGAAATACCAGAAACAGGGCTTGAATATTTAGTTTAAAAGACAGATGAAAGATAAGCCCACTGAAGTAGGGGGATTTCTCCATTACCTCAAGGAATCAAATAATGTCCATAATTAGGAACCGTAACATGTTTCATCTATATATGCACGTGGATTATTTATATTATTAATACATATATATACACATATTAATATTACATATACAATAAAAGTTGTATGTAAACACTTTCTTGTAGGAATGCAATAAACAAAAACTACGACATGCTTCAGAATACCAAGTAACAGCATATTTTTTCCTCTTCTTTAACAACAAATTTCAAGTCAACCTTTTGATTTTTGATTCCAAACCATAAGTTCAAGATGTTCTCAAAGCAGGTAGCCTGGCATTTTTATTACTAAGTTGTCGTCAGTACGCTCCTCAAAAAGTATTTTCCCTACTCTCTTTTCTTAGTTCAGAAATATGGCTACAATTCATTATCAGGTTATTGCTTTCCTGATAGCAGTACTAACCTCAGGATTTTTGAGGGTCATCTCGATGCTGGCAGCTGGCCCAAAGCCTGTGAGAGACTTGATGTGAATCTGCGTGGACAGTGGCCTCCTGCATTGGCAATACACTGAAAATGCCAAAGACTTCAAGTGCTGAATGTAGAAAACCTGTTCATCCTTCATTGTCTGCAGCATGTACTGGCAAGGCACAATCTGCATAATTCACAAAAACAATAAAATGTTATTGGCTCATTAACACCAAACTGAATTTACCAATTCGTTAGTCATCATGCCTCTATATTGGGAGTTTACCACAAGATGTAATTACTAGTGGCATTTAAAAGCAATAGTCTACATTGGCCAGACTTGACTTTTTAACTTTACATTTAAAAGCAGGATCTCCAAGACTAGGTCAAGTTACCACTTGCATTCAGGGAAGAAGTATGACATATACTCAAACCAAAATCAAACGGCCTTTCACAATTTTTTAAAACTGTTCTTCTGATCAAATTCTTGTTTTTAAAATAGTCCTGCTATTAAATCTTGGCATTCTGAACTTTGTGATTAGACAGGTTTGCTTACATAGGCTGTAGTTAGAATCAAAATTTGTTTGCTCTTCATGTAGCAATCAGCACTACATTATCATTCTTAAAGACAACATTTGGTTTAATTGTAGAGCTGAATTAAGATTATATTATAATGATTTATGTGGTTTGAAGCCTTTTTTCCTCCTTTTTAATGCAGCAAAACAGTGGAACCTCAAAAACTTTTACACTGACATTGTGTTGCTTGTTTCAGAAAGCAACATAAGCAAAAATACTTCAATTCGCACATTCTACCAGCAACCAGCAGATTACTCTGTAAATCTGCACAAAAGTAACAGGGAGGAAGAATGGTCCACTGTTTTTCCAGAAGTAAAACAATAAAAACAAGCTTTTCAGTCAAATCCTTTTTTGAATTGGAATTAGATGCATGTAAACTCATTCTTTACATACTGTTGAGAAATATTGTGTACTACACGACTGTAGAAACCTGTGTTACTGTTGATAGCGACATTTTTGCAACAGCAACTGTCTTTCCAAATATATTATGCTGTATATAGTGCAATGAGGCCCAAGCAAATTGTTTTAACAAATATTTTCATTAGTAATAAAATTCAACATACAACTTCCAGCCCTGTTTCTTATTTGAATCATTAGAATTTGGTAGCATATTCTATTTATTAAATGTCAGTGAATATTTTTAAAAGGCAACTCCTTTATACAATATTCAGTACTGGATACTACTATCTCAGTAGCTCTCCTAGTCTACATATGAATTATAATACATCTGTAAACACATTTTTATTTTATTTATTTTTAAATGACTTTACTTCTATGCACTGTAGAAAAGCTGTGAGAATACTGTACTAGTAACTACATCCTGTTACACTTCAGAGAAACCTGTCTACTATTTTGACTTATATAGGCAAAATGCCACATATTCTGAGAGGCAAATTGCAAGGGTGCGGAAAATAAACAGGATTTATAAAAAGCTGATAAGCCCATTAGTTCTTTTATGCAGATTAAGATACAATATCCATACACAATCTAAGTTACCTTGTACTTCAGACATTGCAATGTCAACTGCTATTTCATTTTTACTATCTTCAGCTTTTAGTTTGCCTGGAGTCTACCAAAATACGCAGTTGTGAAGCTAAATATTATTTTGTCCCCAAACCTAAAATATTTTGGTGACAAATTCCTCTTTACCTTGCAAAATAATCATGTTACCTTGAAGGAAAATGTCAAGGTTATGAAAAACAAAAGAATGTCTTAGACTCTGACCTGAGCCTATCTTTTTTTTTTTCTTTTTTTAATCCAAACAAAACAAAAACACTTTTTAAAGCCAGCTGAACATTCACAACTACAGGATACAGAAACCATTCACTGCTTCTGAATATCCTGGCTAAACCCTGCGGGTTCCACCCCACTACCCAGGTGCACGCAGAATCTTTTGGCTCTGGCCAGTCCTTCCACCCGCTGTGGACTGAGCCACTGGGAGAGACGGCATTGGCAAAACGCAGGCGGCCTGGGCAATGCTCCAGGCTCTCTTTCTGGCTATACAAATTCAATTCTCAAGTAATTCCATATTAAGGAACTATTATTATATACTAAGTTATGTGGTAAATTATTTTTAAGCAGCAGATAGCAACAACACAATAGTTAAATTATGCATTAAATGTCTGGTTTCACGTTCTGCTTTTGCATTAAACAGTATAAAAATTCAGAAATAATATAATAAGCAAACAACTCAACATGCAAAATAATCAAAGGAGCAACTGAACATTTTTCCCCTGGCAATGGCAAGTTGTAGGTTAAATTGAAATACCTCTTCAGGAAGCATCCATCATACATGAGTGCTAGAACTACGCAAAATATTTAAGGATATGGCTGCCTCAAATCAATAGCCCCATCAAAGCCAAAGGAAATCTTTTTTAACTTACAGCCTTGTACTTTTAACAAAATAATTTGTAAGCTTCATCTAAATTTGATGTTTTCAAATATTACTGCCCATATCAAAAGTATGCTGTGATAGAATGACTGTCCAAGGAGGAAGCATGGAGTGAGACAGTTACCTGGAGAATGAAAGAATTCCTCATATTCTCGGGCAAGTTCTCCAACATTTCTGTGTAGCATCTCATCAAACTTAGCAGCCAGAAGTTTGCTGAGGCAGATTCTTCATCTGCAGTGTAGGTAAAAGGATCCACCATGTAGATGACGACAGCTGGAGGGTAGGCATTGCTGTCTGCAGACTCCGGCTCAGTGGGAACCCCTATTCTCTCCCTCTCTGTAACACTACAGACATGCATGTTTTGTTAAGTTCAAAGGAAAGTAACAACTATTAATTTTTCTTTTGCTCTAAAGGTGTGGGAGAGTGAAGCAGACGTGGGAAAGGAGCAAAAAAGAGTACTAAGTATCATTACATTGAGAAGCAAAAGTAAAAAGCATGGCAACAGTGCTTGATGGGACACTGCTTTTACTCACAGCATTATGTAATACAGAATCGCAGAATGCTTAGGGTTGGAAGGGACCTCTGGGGATCATCTAGTCCAACCTCTCTGCACAAGCAGGGACACCCAGAGCACAGGGCACAGGGTGGCATTCAGGCTGGGTTGAAGAACTCCAGAGAAGAAGACTCCACAGCCTCTGGGCAGCCTGCGTCAGGGCTCTGGTACCCTCACAGAAAAGAAGTTCTTCCTCATATGGAGATGGAACTGCCTGTGTTCCAACTTACACCCGTTACCCCTCAACCTGTCACCAGCAACCACCAAGAAGAGCCTGGCCCCATCCTCCCTACAATCACCCCTCAGGTACTCAAACATATTGATCAGATCTCTCTCAGCCTGATCTCCAGGCTAAACAGGCCCAGCTCGCTCAGTCTTTCCTCGTATGACACATGCTCCGGTCCCTTAATCATCTTCGTGGCTCTATGCTGGACCCCCTCTAGGAGCTCAGTGTCCTTCTTGTGCTGGGAAGCCCAGAGCTGCCCCCAACACTCCAGGTGCCTCCCTAGAGCTGAGCAGAGGGGCAGGACCCCCTCCTCGCCTGCTGCAACAAGGAGCCCCTTGGCCTTCCTGGCCACAAGGGCATGTTGCTGCCTCGTGGGTAACCTGTTGTCAACCAGGATTCCCAAATCCCTCTCCGGGGAGCTGCTGTCCAGCAGGTCAACCCCTAATCTGTGCTGGTGCCTGGGGTTATTCCTCCCCAGGTGCAGGACCCTGCATTTGTCCTTGTTGAACCTCATAAGGTTCCTCTCTGCCCAACTCTCCATCCTGTGTAGGTCTCTCAATGGCAGCACAGCCCTCGGGAGTGTCAAAAAATATACACAATACCTGTTAGGAGTGATGCATCAGAGATACTTACCATGAAATCTAACAACCTTATTTAACTCAATCTGAATACTGTAGGACTGAAGAATATGGAAAAATGACTAATATTAGCTCTGTGAGTTTTCTTCTTGTGTTTGTGCATGCCTCATTTTTAGCATTGCTTGGGCTTTTATTTTGAGAGGGGGAGAGGGGATGTAGGAGAGAAGGAACTGAGTGATGAGGAGAAGTGCCACAATGATATTTATGGATACTGAAGTCCTCTATTCACATACGCGGAAAAGGTGGCACTGGCAATGGAAGGAGCAATTGAGCATTTTTGCCTTGATAATGACAACCAAGCTGTAAGTTCCTTGAGCAAATTGCCTCAATCGTGAATGAGGCTCAACATCTGTAAGTGAAGAGCACCTCACATTCACTTTGGGAGTGACCACGCTGCATTTGATAAAACTGCACTTTGCATAGGTCAGTAAGTATATGTTTAGAGAACGACCTGAACTAGGACAGGACGTGGGCTTTTCATTTAAGATGCAGGAACTCCCTAGCCTGTACCATGATTATTAGTAATATGTAGTACTGCAAAAGTAAAGAAAAACATGCTCACTCAGCAAGTTAGTCACAGATGATGTTGAAAATCATTCTTCTACTTTTTCTGGTTGGTTCTGGAGGGCAATTTAAAATGCAGTCCTTAAGCATGTTGTGCTGCTCAAATTTGTTAAAAAAAAAAAGTATATTCCTATGTTCTGATTTCACAGTACATCTGCTTAAAAAAAAATCACTGCAATACAAGCAAGTCAGTGGGGTGTGGAAAAAAGCAGGGGCCATGTTTTATTTTGTAATGTCTCTTAACATTAAACGAATGAGGGAATTGTCATGAAGAGGCATCCAGTGCCACATGAGATATCCTCCAGTATCTAGCACACACGAGACTGGGCTAGCAGTTACAGCACAGAAACTATGAGGTACTGTGTTCTTCTTTTACTGTATCTTCAGGCGAGGCAGAGTATGCTAGGGCATCTCCCTAACCCGTCTCTGTGTAGCTGAACAGCGTTTATCCACGGGGGGAAGTTTGTTTTTCCAATTCACCTTATCAGCAATTACTGAATTGTTTAAAAAAAAAAAAAAAAGAGAGAGAGAGAGTCCTGTTCTGCTTGCAACCAGATAAGAGAACTGCAGCATATCAGTGTCCTTTAATTTAAAAGATTTATGTAAAGCTTATATGAGTTGTAGGACAGCAGGAAAATGCAGGATTTAGTAGAAGTATCTTGCATCACTTAAGTAACTTACCCTTCTTGTCCTTCTTGTTGCTGCGGTGGTACATTTTGCCCAGAATCTACATCTCCTCCAGGACCTGCGCTTCCTTGCGAGCGGTCTGCTGTGTTACCCGCAGTGCTGGTGCTCTGCCCTGGACACATGTTCCCACTAAACCCTGGAGTGGAGGTAGTGGTCATCTGGCTAATGCCAGGGGCTGCAGACGACGCTGACAGCTGTGGCAAGGAGGATCCCGAGGATGACACCGCTGCTGCTGGGAGGCTGCTGGTGCCACCGTTGGGAGCGGGGTTAAAAGCACTGCCTGCTGGCGGTGCCCCGGGAGCCGACAGACATGCTGGGTTTGAGGGCACGGATCCACTGTTCCCAGGCACGGTTTGGGCCTGGCTTGCTGGCGCTGGCATTTGGTATTTAGGTGGTAGAAAGAGGCTGCTGTCAAGCTGCAGAGTGGCTAAGTAAGGTGCTGAAAAGAGCATAAGAACAAAGGAATGACAGTTTATCAGACTGAAGTCATACAGCATTTTCTGTTCTGAGGCTATTGTAAGAGTATACAAATATTAAGTGGACATAATCTCCATTTTAAGTATCTACTTTGGAATCAGTTCTTTATGGTTTCACTTCAAACTGATGTGAATCAAATGTCTTTGAAAACAGGGCTGCCTTTGTAGAACTCTTGTAGTAGGAAGAGGACTGGAAGTGAATCAAAGTTGGTATCAAAGTGTCATTTACCTCTAGCTACACTTTGTTGGGATAGGAGCTGGATATATTTAGTGTTCAGCTTTGCAAATTATTACATGATATTTTTCACAGTCTGTTCCAGACATTTTTTCAGATAATCTTTGTCAGACTGAAAATCTAAAAGTCCTTTTTACTTTGCTCTTATTTAAAATAATAGCAAATTCAAAGCCATTATTATTAGTTATTTCTCTGTATCAGAGAGAAATTACAATGACTTTTTTAAAAAATAATAAATAAAAATCAATGTATAGATACATTTGTATATATTATTTATTTACTCTCAGAACAGGCAGAGCAGTACGGAGTTCCAAGTACGGTTCCCAGGTAGATGCATCAGCTGTGAATTGGGCAGCCCATTCCTGCGTGGGCTGTGCACATGCTACACATTTCCACTAAGAGTAATTTCTCCCATATTCACTTATGTGATAAATGAATATTAAAAGCAAGCTGAATGCGGCAGCAGGCTTATTTGAGATAGATGACGTCCCATCCAGTTCTGCCAAATTTTCCTTTAAAGACAGGGCAAGCATTTAGAAGGCTGTAGAGCTGCCCAGCTACTTCTGACCTCCATCTCCTTCTTAAAATTTCTTTCTTCCAAAACTAGACATCAGTGCTCAGGATAGCCAGGCTTAAGAATTGTCAGCCCTTTTCCAGGGCAAAGACAGTAAGCACATAGCAAGAACAGATTTGAAATTCATAGCTATTTTTAAAGGAATAAACAAAAATCAAGTTTGCCCCGTGTCTCTCCCCAGACCAAACCCAAGAGCCACGTGGTAGCCGGAGCAGTTCAGGGACTGCCCCAGTCTGCTGACGTGATCTCAGCAGACTTTCCATATTACTTCCTTCACACATCTCCATGCAGCAAACACCTGATATTACGTTATAAAAGCACAAATATGGCAGGTTGCCAGGCAGCCTTCTCAACCTTCAGACATGATACTTTAAAAATATAAAATAAAAAATCCGGTACTATGTTTCAGGATGGAAATAAGACTACATGAGGTTCTAAAGAGACCAGGCTTTCAGGGTAACATGGTTCAAAATATCCGAGATCCAGGAGGGAGTAGCCCCTCTTATCAACGATACTATGTTTTGTTTTGCTTTGTTTTTCACCCTATTAGCTCACTTTTCCTTTGCAGAATTTTAGTCAGCTAGTCTTTTATATATATGTTGCACTCTAAAAGGCATGCTGCAAATTACTGTATCACAAGGACATGATTTTTTTTTAATCAGTAGCATAAACACCCAAATGACTTATACGTTCAGTCTGGTTCAGAACATCTTTGAAGCATAGGAACAAATCTCTGATCAACAACAACAGAACCTTTTGAAATATACGAATCTAACATGGAAGCGAGTCAAAAATTATAAAGCAGCCTCAAAATACTTAAAAATAAATAAATAAAGAGATCATAACCACATCTTAAGTACGTGATTGCACCTGCTGCAAAGAACCTCTAAAGCACCTACTGAAAACACCCCAACCCTGCAGTCTCCTCAGTAGACTTACCTAGGTGATGCCGACAAACTTGCGCATAAAGTTTGAGTCTGGAATGATTGTCACACTCCTCAGTGCCCCAAGGCTGGCTAAACCATTCGCTCACAAGCTCATCCGTCAGCTTTTGGGCCACGGTCTTTCCCACCCGCATAATCCCATCACGTAACACTTTGCAGATTGGTTTGTGCTGGCCAAGTCTACACATCTAGTGAGGAAAGAAAAAGTACTTTTAGCCCTTGAATAAGTTATGCAGAGTGGTTTGTAGCCTGAAGCCTTAATGACTTGTAACCTGAGGCTCTCTACATTCAGCCTAGGCTAACACAAATCTGGCATCTTAAAAAATATAGAAGAAAAGGCTATGTATATGTGCTAACTTGAATTACACGTAAGGTCAAGTCAATGTAAGGTTACAAAGGAGTCTACAACATTACAAAATACAGGACATGCAGAAAGAAAAAGAGGTCTTTATCTGCAGCCTAGCAATTACATGAAAGCAGGAGTTTCCTTAACCAAGGCCTTGCACTGCAGGCCTGGTTGGGCTATAAAGTGTTAGGCTGTGCTTGTAATGTAGTGTTAATACTAGTATTGTATCCTCTGTAAAATGAAAAAGGATGCACTTGAAAACAGCAGATGCCTACAAAGCATCACAGAGAGCAGGACCAGCTTCATTTCTGCACAAGTAGATTGGTATGTTCCAAGGCTGTATCACTGACTGGACATTAAGGCATATTAAGGCACCAGATACTAACTGACTGCCACCTTTCACATTAGACAGAAAGTCTGTTTTGTTAATAACACTGGGGTCTAGATTTTTATCACTCTGCATGGCTATTCCAGGATCCTGCTAGAAAACAGTGAGTTGATGATAGCTCACTCAGCTGTTGGATTCTGAGGAGCATGCTGTGCTGTTAGCGACTTTACTGTATGTGTATATAAAATCATACACATTACCAAAGTCATATTATATATGACTTTAGTCACATATGACATTATTCAGATAAACTAAAGAAGTGTGACTTTTACTATTTTTCAAGCATAAACAGGCATTGCATACGATTATACTCCAGTTAAATGTTGTGTTTCAAAGGAATCACTATTTTAAGTGTAACAAAATTAGATACTAATTCTGAAAACAGAAAAAGTCCCCAAAATGAAAGAAAACTTCAATTAAATATTGCTATAGATATACATATATATATGTATGTGTATATATATGTGTGTATATATAAACACATATATATACACATGTGTGTGTATATAAACAGATTTTTCCTATTAAACGTGCAGCAAATCAGAAATGACACTTAAGAAATAATTGAGAGC